TGAATGATTTAAACTTATTCAGTACCTAGATGGCCTCACATCCATACGGTTTTTATATTTTACATTCCACAGTTTAACACTGTTCCTCTACAAACACAAGTGAGCTTTGGGCTCAATGAGGCCTTGGACGTTCTCCCTCGTGTGGCAGAACAACATGTAAATTTGGGGATCAAACCACCAACTTCTATGTCTGATACCCAGAATCTTCTGAGGCACAACAGAAACATCCATACAGAATCTTTGAAGCTGTAAGACATTTTTTTGACAATCAGTTTCAAACATGCCACATACAGTCAGATCCATAAATATTGGGAAATCGACAATGCAAACATGTTTGGCTCTATACACCACCACAATGGATATCAAATGAAACAAATGAGATGTGCTTTAACTGCAGAATGTCAGTTTTTATTTGCGGGTATTTACATCCAAATCAGGTGAACGGTGTAGGAATTACAAGTTTGCATATATGCCTCCCACTTGTTAAGGGACCAAAAGTAATGGGACAATTGGCTTCTCAGCTATTCCATGGCCAGGTGTGTGTTATTCCCTCATTATCCCAATTATAATGAGCAGATAAAAGGTCCAGAGTTCATTTCAAGTGTGCCATTTACATTTGGAATCTGTTGCTGTCAACTGTCAAGTTGAGATCCAAAGAGCTGTCACTATCAGTGAAGCAAGCCATCATTAGGCTGAAAAAACAAAAGAAACCTATCAGAGAGACAGCAAAAACATTAGGCGTGGCCAAAACAAAAGTTTGGAACGTTCTCAAAAAGAAGCAACGCCAAAAGACCAGGAATACCATGGAAAACAACTGTGGTGGATGACTGAAGAATCCTTTCCCTGGTGAAGAAAACACCCTTCACAACAGTTGGCCAGATCAAGAACACTTTCCAGGAGGTAGGTGTATCTGTGTCAAAGTCAACAATCAAGAGAAGACTCCACCAGTGTGAATACAGAGGGTTCACCACAAGATCTAAACCATTGGTGAGCCCCAAACACAGGAAGGCCAGATTAGAGTTTGCCAAACAACATCTAAAAAAGCCTTCAGAGTTCTGGAACAACATCCTTTGGACAGATGAGACCAAGATCAACTTGTACCAGAGTGATGGGAAGAGAAGAGTATGGAGATGGAAAGGAACTGCTCATGACCCTAAGCATACCACCTCATCAGTGAAGCATGGTGCTGGAAGTGTCATGGCATGGGCATGTATGGCTGTCAGTGGAACTGGTTCCCTTATATTTTTTCGATGATGTGACTGCTGACTAAAGCAGCACGATGAATTCTGAAGTATTTCGGGCAATATTATCCGCTCATATTCAGCCAAAGGCCTCAGAACTCATTGGACGGCGCTTCACAGTGCAGATGGACAATGACCCAAAGCATACTGCAAAAGCAACCAAAGAGTTTTTGACGGGAAAGAAGTGGACTGTTTTGCAATGGCCAAGTCAATCACCTGACCTGAATCCGATTGAGCATGCATTTCACTTGCTGAAGACAAAACTGAAGGGAAAATGTCCCAGGAACAAGCAGGAACTGAAGACTGTTGCAGTAGAGGCCTGGCAGAGCATCACCAGGGATGAAACCCAACGTCTGGTGATGTCCATGTGTTCCAGACTTCAGGCTGTAATTGACTGCAAAGGATTTGCAACCAAGTATTGAAATGTATAAGTTTGATTTATGGTTCTTGTCCTGTCCCATTACTTTTGGTCCCTTAACAAGTGGGAGGCACATATGCAAACTGCTGTAATTCCTACACCGTTCACCTGATTTGGATGTAAATACCTCAAATACAAGCTGAGAGTCTGCAGTTAAAGCACATCTTGTTCATTTCATTTGATATCCATTGTGGTGGTGTATAGAGCCAAAAATGTTAGCATTGTGTCGATGTCCCAATATTTATGGACCTGACTATAAATATCGACTTACCTTCTCTGTGATCTCCTTTATAGATGCAACAGTAGTCACATCAAAATGGCCGCTCCTTCGTCTGTAGTCAATAAACACACAGTCCTTCACTCCTCGCTCTATCGCCTGCTGAGATGCTTTCATGATTTCTAGATGTAAAAATATTTTTTTTAAATTAATATTTTAACACTTCAACTATTTCCACATGGCACTTTCCAGCTTTAATGTGACCCTTATGCTCCCAATTAAATTAAAAGTCCTAAAATATCTCCTGTGTAGCTAAACAAACCTGATGACCTTGTGTAATACCAGACTCATTAAGTGTGGAAGCTCACCAGGCAGACAGCGACAGAACTGAACAGGAGCCTCCTTCACCAGCATGTCCTTAACGGCCTCCACCAAAGGACCAAAAATCAGAACTGGTCTGGGGGACGAGCAGTCCACCTTCTGAACCCGCTGGTACATCAGGCTCACACCGTCTGGGAAGGAGACACAGAAATCACAATCATAGTTTTAGGGTTCTAGGAAGGATTGTGTGGAGGCAGAATGACTCAAACCCATATCTCTGAAATATGTCCATGTTATAAAACTTAATCATTAGTTTATATTGGAAAAAAATAATCTAGTTTTAGATTCAACTCATTTTTGTTTTTTCAACTATTACATTGTTGAACATTTTAATTAATCTCAAATACACGTTCTATTAAAAAACAGTAACACTTTATTTTACAGTCCTCTGATTACTAAGTACTTACTTACATGGTAATTACATAGTAAGTTAGTGTATTATTTTTCTGAGTTCTTAAACAGTTATTACCATGTAACTCGGGTTCAATTCTAGTTTTTATTTTTATTAATCATTCCCAGTAAATACTGCTTTACACAATAATTACACCTTATTACAATTATACACTTTAACTACACAATGCAATTCAACTTACTATGTAATTACCATGTAAGTACTAAGTAATTAGGGTCTGTAAAATGAAGCGTTTTCAAAAATCTCTGATCAAATCTTATGAAATGGTCATTAAATGATCGATTTTACTTTAAGGAATAATCTTAAATGAAGCTGTTTAACATTTAATTTTAAGCCTGTGAATTTACTGTCATCTTGATTTAAAGGCAGGGTACGTAAGTTTTAAATGTGAAATAATTTTAAAAATGTTTAATTTTGACCATCTGACCCAGCTTTATTAAAAAAGGTAAATAATCTTTAATATTTCAATTTTCTCCTAAGTCCCTCCCCTGCCCTGTAGAGCTCAGCCAATATTTCTGCAAGGCTAACGCGTTGACCAATAGCGCTGCATTACCACCAGGGGTAGCTGTCAATCATCGACAATGAGCATTAGATCTCAGCGTGCACAACAGTGTCACGCGCCTCACTCGGCTTAGAGGACCGAAGAAAGCAACAATGGAGCGACAAAACCCCAAATTACCGATTCCTCGACTGCCTTCCACATCTCAAAAAACATTTAAAAAGTTTAAAAGCCCTTCTTCAAAAGTGGCTGTAAGACATTTAAGACAGTCGAGTCGAATTTACATTGGAGATTGTTTTACACGATGGAGAGATTTTCGTGATCTATGCGGCATGAAAACGGATGAAGAGTTGGCAAAAGTATATTTTGGACAGGTAAGTTATTTATTGTTTTACGGAAAAATTTACTTAAAATCTTTCTTTCACTGAAATAAGTAATAGAGCAAACAAGCTTTGTATGCTTGGTGTCCTGTTGGCTAATGTAGCATTAGCTTGAATGCTAAGTCAACATGAATCGATGTTAGTCGTTGAACTACAGGGAGTGCAGAATTATTAGGCAAGTTGTATTTGAGGAATAATTTTATTATTGAACAACAACCATGTTCTCAATGAACCCAAAAAACTCATTAATATCAAAGCTGAATGTTTTTGGAAGTAGTTTTTAGTTTGTTTTTAGTTTTAGCTATTTTAGGGGTGATATCTGTGTGTGCAGGTGACTAACAAATCAGTGACCAATATAGCCACCTTTCTTTGCAAGGACACCCAAAAGCCTGCCATCCATGGATTCTGACAGTGATTTGATCTGTTCACCATCAACATTGCGTGCAGCAGCAACCACAGCCTCCCAGACACTGTTCAGAGAGGTGCACTGTTTTCCCTCCTTGTAAATCTCACATTTGATGATGGACCACAGGTTCTCAATGGAGTTCAGATCAGGTGAACAACGAGGCCATGTCATTAGTTTTTCTTCTTTTATACCCTTTCTTGCCAGCCACGCTGTGGAGTACTTGGACGCGTGTGATGGAGCATTGTCCTGCATGAAAATCATGTTTTTCTTGAAGGATGCAGACTTCTTCCTGTACCACTGCTTGAAGAAGGTGTCTTCCAGAAACTGGCAGTAGGACTGGGAGTTGAGTTCGACTCCATCCTCAAACCGAAAAGGCCCCACAAGCTCATCTTTGATGATACCAGCCCAAACCAGTACTCCACCTCCACCTTGCTGGCATCTGAGTCGGACTGGAGCTCTCTGCCCTTTACCAATCCAGCCACGGGCCCATCCATCTGGCCCATCAAGACTCACTCTCATTTCAACAGTCCATAAAACCTTAGAAAAATCAGTCTTGAGATATTTCTTGGCCCAGTCTTGACGTTTCAGCTTGTGTGTCTTGTTCAGTGGTGGTCGTCTTTCAGCCTTTCTTACCTTGGCCATGTCTCTGAGTATTGCACACCTTGTGCTTTTGGGCACTCCAGTGATGTTGCAGCTCTGAAATATGGCCAAACTGGTGGCAAGTGGCATCTTGGCAGCTGCACGCTTGACTTTTCTCAGTTCATGGGCAGTTATTTTGCGCCTTGGTTTGTCCACACGCTTCTTGCGACCCTGTTGACTATTTTGAATGAAACACTTGATTGTTCGATGATCACGCTTCAGAAGCTTTGCAATTTTAAGGCTGCTGCATCCCTCTGCAAGATATCTCACTATTTTTGACTTTTCTGAGTCTGTCAAGTCCTTCTTTTGACCCATTTTGCCAAAGGAAAGGAAGTTGCCTAATAATTATGCACACCTGATATAGGGTGTTGATGTCATTAGACCACACCCCTTCTCATTACAGAGATGCACATCACCTAATATGCTTAATTGGTAGTAGGCTTTCAAACCTATACAGCTTGTAGTAAGACAACATGCATGAAGAGGATGATGTGGACAAAATACTCATTTGCCTAACAATTCTGCAATCCCTGTATTTATGCTATATTTGGAAGAAGTTTGATTAACAAAAGGGGATTTTAGTTTTATTTGTATAGGAGCCAATGATTAGTGTGGCGTTTAACTATAGGCCATATCAATGTATTGTTTTAAGCTTTTGTATATAATAACTTCAGCGTTAGCAGGGTTCAGTTAGCATCTTGAACGCTGTATTAGATGTTTACACTTTCCTGAGCTGCGTGTTTGATTAAAATGAGTAATCAGCAGCTCATGTAGTACTTGCTGAAGTCTGAGGAGATGATTCAGCAGTTAGAATTAGGTGTGATTGATCAGGAACGTATCCAAAACCTTACGTTTCCATTAGCACTGAAAGTCCTATTGTGTTAGCCTGGGTGGGCCACGTGTACAGATTACTGTCTGGTTTTGTGGTTTTACCTATGTGAATACTCCATATTAAAATAAAAGGAATGATGATCAGCTCATGCAGAAATCTGTGAAGGCTGGGGAGAAACATTAGCTGTTGGAAAAAAACGTATCTGACCACAAACCTATCCAAAACACTGTCACACTGGCTGTCAGTTAACCTGATATCACACTATTAAGCCTGTTCCAGTCACAGCAATAATCGAGTGCCAAATTCAAGTATTTTATTAGGTTTTCATGTTTTGAAAAAGCAAATCATATTAAAATGAGTGATTAGAAGCTCATGTTTAACTCAGTTGGCTGCGGAGATACTTTATCAATTACAATCAGATTTGTCTTAGCAGGAAAATATAAAAATATAATGTGATTTGCATGCTCTTCATGCTACAGTCAATTATTTAGTAGTTTCGCTGACCTTCATTTCATTATCTTACAATAAAATAGATGTGTAAACTAAGAGATGGCTATATAACATAGTATTGTGTGCTTCTTTTACTTGTTTAGCCTGTGATCACTACTTTTTATTTTAATATGGGCTTTGTTTTTACAGTCATCAGTCCAAATATGAAGCATCAGCATCAACACCATTGGAACGCCAACTGTTTATTTCTCCAACACCAGTGCCAGCTCTGTCTAGCATTCATGGAGAATCATCTGAAAGGTAAATAGCTGCCTAAAAACCTCTACCAGGAATATTATAATTTTGCCTCTGTTTTAAGTTAGTGGTGGATTATTTTGAAGAAATTCTGGAAATGGGATAATGAATCACTATAAAAAATGTATAGAAATAAACAAATAAGTAAAACTATATTTTATATAGCGCCTCTCAAGATAAAACTCTTGAGGCGCTTAACAACAAAATTAAAAATATATTTTAAAAAAATTATATTTTTATTTTAAAATAAGTTTATGAGAAAAATAACACAATTGTGTTTTTAAAATGTAAAGAAAGAGACAGGAAATTATTTGTAAAGAAGGAATTCAGTGGATACAGAGAAATGCCTAATAAGTAGAGGGAGACAAAGAGAGGGTGATGATGACAGTCAATAGGCAAGGTCTATTGCCTTCAAAATGACAAAATATGTATTGATTCTAATCATATTCTTGTGCTTGTATTTTCATAAGGATGATAATTTGGAGGTGGTGATGGAACAAGGTGAAACTAAAAATGAAGGATCTTCACTAGCATCTCTCCTTCAGCCTTATCGCTGCCTCTCCCGACTCCAACCAGACCCATCATCCTAGATAGCTTTGGTCCAGTTTCTTAGCCTGAGTTAACCAAACTAGTTAACTCTATGAAGACCTCTGCATGCCCCCTCGACATCTTACCCTCATCTTTGTTTAAAAGTGCTTTTCAATCCATCGGTCCCAGCGTGCTCTCTATAATTAATGCTTCTCTGGTCTCTGGTCAGGTCCCTGCTTACTTTAAAAATGCTGTAATCCACCCGCTTCTTAAAAAACAGAGTCTTGACCCCTCTCTCCATAGCAGCCTCAGACCCATCTATAAACTTCCGTTCATCTCCAAGATCTTGGAAAAGGTTGTGGCTAAACAACTCACAGCAGCTCTTGATGAACATAACATCTATGATAGCTTCCAGTCAGGTTTTCGTAGAGCTCATTCTATTGAAACAGCTCTTCTTAGGGTCTCTAATGACCTTCTCACTCACAGCGATGCAGGGGGCTGTTCTGTTCTGGTCCTGCTGGACCTGACTGCAGCCTTTGACACTGTTGACCATCACCTGCTACTGGAGAGGCTGAGAGACTGGGTGGGCCTATCAGGATCTGCTCTGGAGTGGTTCTCCTCTTATCTCTCTGAGTGCTCCTTTTCTGTGGCCGTCTCCAAGTTTAGGTCCTCCACCACCTCCCTTACCCATGGTGTCACACAAGGTTCTGTGCTGGGGCCTCTGCTCTTCCTCCTCTATCTGCTTCCTCTTCAGCACACCTGAGCTCCTTCAAAGGAATCTCCTACTATCTTTATGCAGATGACATCCAGCTGTACATCTCCTTTAAGCCCCATGAGATGTCTAAGCTGCAGCTGTTCCACACCTGCCTAGACTCTATCAAAACCTGGATGGCTGGGAGCTTTCTTCAGCTGAATGAAGATAAAACTGAGATCCTCATCTGTGCCCCAGACAAGCTGGTTCCCAAAGTCAGAGACTCTCTTGGTCAGCTTGCTTCTCACACCAAACCTTCTGTCAGGAATCTTGGTGTGACCTTTGACCCAGCTCTCACCCTGGATTCTCATGTCAGTTCTCTTGTTTGCTCCTCCTTCTTCCATCTCAGGAACATTGCTGAGTCCCATTCTGAACTTGAGACGGTTATCCACACCTTTATCTCCTCACGCTTAGACTACTGTAACTCTCTTTTCACGTGTCTGAGCAGAACCTCCCTGAACCATCTACAGGTGGTTCAGAATGCCTGTGCTCGGCTTCTGACCAAGTCCTCCAAACACACTCACATCACCCCGCTTCTCCTCCAGCTTCACTGGCTGCCAGTCAACTTCAGGGTTCATTTCAAGATCCTGGTTCTGGTCTGTAGGGACTTACATGGACAAGCACCATCTTACATTGGTGATCTCCTTAGTCCCTACACCCCCAGCAGGTCCCTGAGGTCCAGTAATCAAAGCCTGCTGGTTGTGCAATGCACCAGGCTAAAGACCAAAGGTGACAGGTCATTTGCTGCTGTGGCCCCCAGACTCTGGAACTCTCTCCTCCTGAGCCTGAGATCAGTGGACTCAGTGGTCTCCTTTAAAAAGCAGCTGAAGACTCACCTGTTCAAGCTGGCTTTTGTATGACCTTCTTCACCACTCGCTCTTTATTCTGCTCTCCCCACCTATTCTAACTTCCTCAGGATTCACTGATTTCCCTCTTTCCTATTCACTCTCTCTCTTTCCTATTCACTCTCTCTCACTCTCTAACATTTTTTTAATCACAATTGTCTATTTTTGCCCATTTTAAATATATTTTTAACATTTTCTAAATGCTTTTTTATATTTTTACATTTTTTGTTTTTGTGAAGCGCCTCGTGATTTTTATCTTGAGAGGCGCTATAGAAATGATACTTTCTTCTACTTTCTACTCGTAATAAAATGCTAACAATTTGATAGGATTAATTTTATTTACAATATAGATTGTCAACTGTTACTGGTATTAAAATATATAGATATGTATGTAAGTATATATATATTTGACTCATTTTACTTGACATCTTTTAGCTTTCACCAGCACATCAATATCAGAAGTCACATCCTGAGTGGCGGCCAACTTCAGGATGTGATTCAAGTTCTTCTGTGAGCCTTGAGCGCAGCTTTGTTTTATTTATACTCATTACAGAGAAAACTTGCTCACAAAGATAAGTTTATTTTCACTCTACATTGTAAAGTATGAAATAAAGTTTACACAACCATCTCGCGGGCCGCATATTTGACACCCCTGTTCTAGACGCAAACGATTGCATCTATCTGTTGTGATCTGGGAAATTACTCTGGACCGACCTGGTTGTACTGCGGTCTTTTCTACGAACTTCGGTACCTTGGGGTATAGATATTTATATAGAATATCACAGCTTATTGGTCATAAGTAAAGGTAATATATTAAGCTTAAAAGCAACAATATTTACCCCCCCCACAACACTAGAAATACCATCTCACCCTCTGTGATGGGTAAAGAATCTGTACTGATGGCGTCCAGAGCCATGATCTCCTTCCCATCCTTAGAGCTGCTCCGTTTATGCCTCAGTCTCCGGCGGAAGAAGGACCTTCGTGCGGCGGCAGACATGGTCTTACCGGTGCCGTTATCGTCTTTCATATCACCCATGCCGTGTCTCCTGTAAAGCTCCTGATCCATCCTAATGGGGATACATCATCATGCCTTCATATACCCTGACACGGTTAGATTCATTCTCAACATTTAAGGTTAATGAATGTGGGCAAGCTTAATGAAGACGAGTTAAAATGAGAATTATTCAAATGATAGATGTGGAAAATGTAAATATTCTTTAAAAGTATGGGTTTGACTTACATGTATTTACTTGGAATCTGCCCCTTTTCCAGCTTCCGTGCACTCTCATCCAGCTGCCAGGCCAGCCAGAAGCCAAAATTACCATTTGGAAGTGTGTCTTCAACATACAGGATGTCATCTTTTTTAAAGCTCAGTTCCTGCTCGACCTCTGCAACCCGCTCATAAAGTGCTCTGACAAGAAATGGGCAGGGGCAAAATAAATACCATCACTACAGCTGGACGCTGCAGAACATTTAAAGGCACAAAAGATCAAAATTATAGATCAAATAATTCTCAAATGCTGAGGTTAATAATTTGCATATTTTCCTGAAAGAGTTTAGAACTTTGCCCACCTAATGAAAAATCCATCGCCAGGAGATGCTTTGATGTCATCCAGGCTTTCTGCACAGTTCTGGACCTTGAATGTGACAGTTTCTGCTGGTTTCAGCATATCCAGGTAAGCCTCTTCTTTAGTTTTGTTCCTCATGCTGATGCCATTGTACTGGAAGAAAACAATTACTCAGCAGTATGAGCTCTGAGCTCAGCCACCATCATTTTCAGTTAAACCAATAGAAACCATGCAGAAAGACACAACAGAGGACAAAGGTTTGGCTTTACGGTGTTGCAGCTGCCACACATTTTAATTGTAAAAATCCAAGTGTTAGCCCAACAGAGATTCATGCAAGTACCTCAAGTATCAGGTCTCCAGGCAGCAGTCCATCAGGACCTTTCGCCGGGCTGTCTTCATCCAGCATCTCCACAAAGATGCCATAAATGTTTCCCCCACAGACCTGAACACCCAGCTCCACGTTAACCTTCTTCAATCTCACCAGCCGAGGTTCTCCAGCTCTGAGAGAAACTGGGCCTGGAAGCCTGGAGAAGAAACCGGAGTGTAAGTTTCTTAGTCAACCACAAATGTTTTCATTTTAAATCAGTCTTACTAATAAAAATCTCAACCTGAAGGAGTTGTGAGGACTTGCAGCAGGCGTCATCTGTTTGGATGGAGGCGTCATGGTGCCCTCATCCTGCTCACTCAGTGAATCCACAGCAGAGTGGTTGTCTGGGGTTGTAACTACGCTGTCCTGGGGTGTTGGCTGGTTGCTGATGGACTCCATTCGAGAACAAGGGTGAAAAAGAAAGATGCTTTGCTGATCATAATTGTTTTTTTAAGTTGATGCTGATAGCATCTCCCTGAGGTGTGGCTGTAGGAGTTGCTAAAACATTTCCTTGCACATGTCGCAAGGTCTCTCATGTGGTTTTATAAGTGTTTAAAAAGCTTGTGAGACGGAGTACGTGCCATTATCTGAAAGCAACCTCCGACCCTTCTCTAGTTTCTGTGAATTAGAAAGACCAAGAAAATCTAGACAATGTTAGGAGGGTTTGGTGACCTATGCAACTACATTTGGATTGATCTGAGATTTTTTTTGATAATTTCACTGTAAAATTCTTACATATCGCTCTTTTGAGAGATTTATGTACAGTGATCACATGGCTATTTCAATTCCTGTGCAGTTTTGATCTACGCAGTTTTTCTGCACAAATTCTGAATGAAAACTAAGTAATGGTTTTAGATTTGTTTTCTAATCTACATTTCAAAACCCTCCCTGCTTACTCCATTGTAATTAATATTCTGAAGTCATCAAAAAGCTGGGCATTAATCTGCATTTTACTGGAAAGCCTAATTATTATAATATTGTTCTCAGATTTAAAAAGGTTATTTTAGTGTTCTTTGCTGCTGACGTCCTTACCTCGCGCGAGAGGGATTCCCCAGCTGAAGCATGTGAGGATTATACTGAGCCAGAATGGTGACTGCGTCACACTGCTGTCCGATCACCAGTCGGGCCTGCTGCTCGTTGGCATTGCGAAGGTTGATTCCATTAAACTGGAAACAGTATTAATTCATCAGAAATAGAAGGATTATATAAACATGGTGTGACGTTTTGAGCATGGAGGCTGCTTTACCTCCAGAAGTTGGTCTCCGTACTCCAGACGAGCCTGATGAGCGATGCTGCCTGGTGTCACTTTGGACACAAACACCCCGCTGTTTTCTCCACTCACTATGGAGATCCCAAGTGGTTCTGCTCCTTTCTGTACGGTCACATGGCGAGGCTCACCTAAATATGGCCTTCAGGGATAAAAGGACACTCACATAAATGCCATTTATTATCCCATCAGCTGGCAGGAGTATATATTTAAACAATATTTGAAGATGTGGATTGGTTTACAGCCTCTCTATGAAAGTGGAGAATAAAATGTGTCTAAATGCTTAAAAAGGTCTCAAACGTTGAAGCGGGTCTTATGTCACTGACTGATTTAAAAAATGGAAAACAAAGCATGACCAAGTTAGAGAGAATTGATGCAGAAATCTGAAATTCAACTAACACTAATGTATCACTGTAGGTTGAAGTTATGAGTTCTTCTTGAATCTCAACTTAATCTCACAGAAAACTGTCTCATGTCATCCATCAACCCCTTAAAGAGTTAAAGAACTTCAATCATTTGAAGCATTAAATCTTTCAATTGCAGCATAAAGCTGAAAACATTAAAAACATGTTTGTTTTTATTCAAATAAGAAAGTACGCAAGGAGGAATGAAAACAAATATGTTCTAATGGTCCCCAATTAGTAATTCAGTGAGTGCCTTTTAAATTAACCACAACAGTCAGAAGTACGTGTTAGCATACTGCTTTTCAAATTATTTGTGAGAGACATTTTTTAGGAATGTCAATATAGCAATTTTAACCCTCCCACTGTCCTAATGGGTGTGACCCCGCGAGGAAAGTTGACCTTTGAGCAGGATTGAAGGTTTACCTCGAGGTCCACGTGGCAGGGGTGAGGTGGTGCTAACTCCTCACCCCTGCCACATGGACCCAAGGGATAAACCATCCACCCTGCTCGATGGTCAACTTTCCTTGCGGGGTCACACCCATTAGGACAGTGGGAGGGTTAAAAAGGAAGCTACCTTACCGCTGTCACAGGTGACATTTCAAACAACGTATAAATGAAATTTGTTTTAAAATCTATAGTAACATTTAAATTTCACCAATCCTTCAAAATAAAAAAAATGACTTTGAAATAAAACATTTAAACAGCATGATGCAAGAGCTGTTAGACCACAAATGTCATGCTGTTATATTAAACTTGGCATCCCCTTCAATAATGAATGAGCAGAGAGAACCGTGATGATGATTTAAATGGAAATACATGCATCCCATCACCTTGGTTAATTCAGCTTTCTAATGAATCATGCAGCTAAATACAGCCGAGTATAGCATCTGAGACTGGTTATGCTTTTCATGCTACCCGTAGCCTGAGACGAACCTCAAGCTTCTCAAAGACAAGAACTTGGGCTTTACTGGTGGACGTCTAACAGAAGGAGTACAGAAACAGACAAATCTGAGAAGCAGAACGGCGAGAAGAGACACTGATCAGCTGAAGAGAAAGAATTCAGGTCATAATGATCAGTAGCAGCAAAGACAGAGGCCAGAAGAAATGTAAAGATGGTGAGTCAGTGTTCTGACGATGTGACAGATTTGTTTACTGTGTTCCAAGCATTTTATCACAATGAACCAGACAAACAGTGGAAAAAATACGTCGTGCTCAGCTGAAGGATGACAGTATGAGGGTGCAGGCGAGGCGCCAGCTTACCCATCCCTCCGCCTGTCACTAGCTGGAGCAGGGCTAACTGATATTCCAGGCTGGGAGGAAATGGAGCCCTGCGATTGGTTGCTGGAGAAAGACGATGTGTCCAGGTTGACGGGGGAAATTGGAGGCGTCGGGCTGCTACACTCCGAGTGGGAGAGAGAGCCTGGGATGGCAGGAGAGAAAGACACTCATGTCGTTTACAGCACCAGCACTTACTAAGAGGTGAGAGAAGCCTTAAATAAACAGTACCTTTGTCAGACCCAGTGGAGCGGGAGTAACAGGTCGGAGGGATCTTAATGCGCTCTGCCCGGAATTGTAAAGTACTGGGAGAGCCTAAAGAAATCAGATGGAAACTATGTTCAGGGGTCAGACTTTATGGATATCAACCCATGTGGGAAAAACTCCTTCTCACTGAAAATGGTCCAGTTCCTATGACATGATGTTCTGATGATGAAAATATCTGCTGTATTCTGCATCAGTTCGTTTTTCAGAAATCAATTTAATCTCAGTTTTATTTTCTATACGGTACACTTTCTAATCGTTTTCTTTGGTGGTGTAAGATCTCTTAAGGCTCCACCTCATAAGGACCCATGAACAAGGCCCAACACTTCTCACCTCCAGAGGTCTGCATTTTTTTAATCAGAATCCTTATGAATTCAGATTTCATTGTTTCAAATGCTTCTGATTTGTGAAACTGGAAAAATTAGAATATGATGCAAGTTTAATTATGTCAGTGACTCAAATTACAAGGTGAAACTAATTCATGAGGTAGAATCATTTTTCAACATCATTTTTATGATTAAAAAGGGTGAAAATCCTTCTTGAATTTCTTCATGTCAAATTCTCCCAACATTCAACATAAAGGAATGAGGCTGGCGCACTCAGGTGAGTGAGGATTTATTAGGGGCAAAAAAAATCCCTACTAACGTTTTGACAACATGAGCATCAAAGTTACTCTGGTAACCAAATATCTTTCTTTTTGTTACCAGATTAGAGATTTGTTTGTTTTTATTCACAAGTTACTCGGGTAACTCTGACAGACATGTCCAAACTAATTTTTATATAACCACTCACTGGAGTTCTCCGTCAGCTAGAGAGTGGATGATGCTCAACGGGCTTTGTTCTGTTTTCTCAACTTTCATTTCAGGTCACTTGGAGAAAAAGTATTTAAGTTTGTGTCAAAATGAAGCCCAACTCTTTAAATACTGAACTGAGCACATGTAGACTATTCTAGAATTACACGTCACTCCACAAAAAAAAAAAATAACTGGAGCATGTTCAATTCTAATTCCATCTCTAATTATACAAAATACTTCACTTAATAAATAAAAACTTTGCATGACCAGATTTCAGCAAAAGTGATAAGAAAACTCTTTTTGTAATCAATGTGAACTGACCGGTCTTAGAGGGATTACATAAATCAGAGATGTTAGAGAAAAATGTTTCAGAACTAGGGCATCGATCAAACATACTCAGCCTGGCTGCAGAGGGTAGAGAGTTGGAGTTGTGTGGTGACTGGCTGCACTGGGTCTCCGTCAAGTCTCCATTGCGCTTGTGGCTGAGGTCCAAACAGAGGGGACCTTGGCGCTGGGGGCTAAAAGTGGAGAAAGAGGCTTGTGTGAGTCCCCCAGCAGTCAATTATTCAACCCAGAGTGAGATATAATTTACTTCCTGCCATCTGTCCATGGGGCCTGGGGAAGGATGCACACTTTATTTTTTTATATGCAGCACTACAGAACTTTATCTCTCTATAACAGTAATTATACGGATTTATATGAAGTCTATAGGTGCAACCAAAGTAGTTTGATGATAAATCGACCTTTGTGAATGCACACAGACTCCTGAACTAGGAGCTGCAGGACAGTTGTTGGTCTGAATCTCGTGGCTCCAGGCTGTGTAAACCGGGTTCCTCATGACAGCCGCCATAGCGGGACATGGTGCTAAACGTCTTTGTGGTGGAGCTGAAACAAACACAGCGTGAGACTGGAGCTCCAAATTCATTCAACTGACAAACGCACATGGTGTTCAGATGCTGACTAAATAAACAACTCCACAAATTCACCCTCCAACTTGTTTAAATGCAAATCAGAGCCGATTAGCATGTGCAGATGGCTTACGTGCTGTGATGCTGATGTAGCCTGGAGGTGCAAACGGCATGCTGTACCGATTAGTTCTCGAAGGAGAGAAGCGTATCAAGTCCACTGGCTCTGGGGAGTCTTCATCATTAGAAAAACTCTGAGTCTGTAAAACCCAAACAAACGGCAAGGGGTTTACTTTGCTTATTTATTTATTTACTTATTTATTGGGAAATAAAAACTGTTACCTGCGTGGGAGCACTGATGTGTATAGGAGTCATGTTTCGTCGTAAAGCTGGTGCTGATTTTGGCCGGTACCTCCTCTTCTCCAGCACTTCTGGCCTGCGTCGAGCCCCCTCCCCCTTATCGGGCTGTTTCTTGAGGCTGCTCTTGTTTTCTGCAGGCATGTTGGTGTAACAGAGCTGCTTCTCCACCAATCCATCCTCCTGGGGACTTGTAACTTGGGGGACAGAGGCAGGTGGAGTGCCATTGGTGATGGTGGAGTCAGACGCAGAGCTGTTCTGTTGGCGATGCTTGAATCTGAATGAGTCGCTCCTGGTTGGTGGAGTGGGTGGTGTCTGAGCAGGTTCAGATCCTGAGCTCTGAGGTGAGTGTTTGGACATTTGAGACATGTAGTCCACTTTAGAGTTGGTCTCAGGCCGCCTGAAAGCACTCGCATCAAAGATAGACTTCCTCTGTTTAGCTTTTTTGAAGATGGACAACTGGCTTGCTTCAGCAATCGAAGCTCCCACTATGACCTTTGGCCATGTCCCTCCACCAGGCTTTGATGGTAAACAATGCACTCTGTCCACAGGAGGCTGAGTAAAGCTGCAGTCTGAGAGAACAGGAGTGAAGGTGAGGGGATGGGGCCTGCAGTCCTGCCTCTGGTAACAGAGAGCTGGGTGTCGCTCTGAAGGTCTGTGGGAAAAGGTTTTGTGGTGGGAATGAGCACTGCTGCTACTGCTGCTGCTGTTTTCCAGAGAATCACGCGTGTCTTTGCATTCCTCGTCTTCTCTACTGCCAGATCTACAGCTGCAGGTGTCCGTTTGAGTGGAGCAGTTGTGCTTAGCGTTCCTGCAGCTTCTGGCGTGGATCTCACTGGACTGGAGCCGCAGGGCCTTCTCTGACTCCCTCAAAGTTTCAAATAAATTCTGTCCAGAGAAACTTTGAGGGAGAAACTGTCAAAGGATAGAAAATATCACTTATTTCATAGCTGCTCAAACCTGGATTCCCATCACACATCATAATCACACGATGGTTCACAAGAATACACCACTGATGTAGAAAACATGATAGCCACCTTCATCAGGGAGATGCTGAGAGCATTTCCAGAGTTCCTCAACAGAGATTCACATTCAGAGAGAGATTTGTTATCAAGTTCAATTCCATTGATCTACAAAAAAAAATGTCAATGTTGACATGTAAAATTTTACATACTTAGCAAATAAGCACAGACATTGATGAGTTGTTTTACCCATTAAGTCTTTAAAATATTTGTACTTAACTTCCTGAGATGTAAGCTTTTGATAAATGTGCATAAAAAATTCTCCCTGCTCATTTGGATTTGGTAAAAAATGGTTTTGGACTACAAATATTGAAATAAAAAAGTTAAAATATAAAAGATTACAGTAAATATAAAAAAGACAAGCTCAGACTGTTTTGATGAGGGCAGCAGGTATAAGCTGAAAAGAATAAAATTATATGTAGCACAGAATCAACGTCCTGGAATGAGGACAAATGGTCTCGGGAGGTAAACACCAACAGGACAAAAGTTTCTCAAGTGGATTTAAACAAGTCTGTTTCCAAGAGTAAAACTATATTTTTTCCATCTGTCGTCACAAAATTATACAGCTGAAAAAGTAGCCTAAATGCATTTGACACCTTGGGCTTCTGCTAAAGGTTGTGGAGCGTGCTCTATAGATGAATACATGAAATCATTTTGGTACTGGAACGGTGACAGTGTGGTCAGCAGAGGGCACTGTAACACACACTGTGACCATTTTGGTTTAAATTTTTCCCAACAACTTTGCTTATTTGCTGGTATACTTACAGCCAACAGCCTGTCACCAACAGCAAGGCTACACTCTCTGGCAGCTGGACTACCTGCAGCCAGTGTGGAAACAAACACTCCACTTTCCAAACCAATACCACTTTCTAAGAAGCAAAGGTGAAAGGAAAATTATATTTATGTTAACAGAAATGTTCCAGATGTGTGGTTGAATACAAATTAAACGGTCTTGAAAGCTGACCTTGGTGTCCTGCCAGGTTTATGTGAACCGGAGTGATGATCCGTCCTCCCAGAGACTTCCTCCTCCGTACCACCATATTGATCACTCCCTCCCTGCTCAGCACAGCTTTGATCACCTGCTTCCTGTCCTTATTAGTCAGGTCCACATCATTTATTTTTAACAACCAATCGTTCACCCTGCACAGCAAGACGGTGAGATTGGTTTTGATCTTTTTCTTTTTTACATTAATTCTAAAACTGATTTATTGTCTGCAACAAAACTCAGGGATTAAATGATAAAACCAGTATTTACCTCAATCTTCCTTCAGCAATGCTTCCTTTATCCACCTTGGAGACAAATATGCCACTATCTCCTGATAAATAGGGGTCATTAATCGCTTCAGCAACATCAAACCCAAGTGCATTCAAATCCATATCCTGAAAATAGATAAAATGTATGAAATTTACCTCATGGTTAAAAATGATTTACCTCTAAAACGTTAAATCGTGGAGTGGCTCGTACTCTGTGCTTTTCAAGCTCAACAACTTCGGTTTCCCATTCAATAGAGTCTGTGTCAATGGCTGAATCATGCGAGCTGTGAGCCATTAGCTGTCGATAGTGTGCTTCCTTCTCTAACTGGTCATCCAGTCTTTCTCTGCAAGGAACACATGTGCATAAATCTGGTAAATGGTGATGGTTCAGTTCAATAGCCTGAACTATTCTCAGTCTGAAATTCTCCACAAAAGATTCACAGATAAGAGAAAATGCTTAAACAAATGGAGCTTGTTGAACAAATAAAATCTCACTTTAGTACTAAAAGCAGAAATAGCACACACACACACACACACACAGCAAGGGGGCAGAATGAATGGATGAAGGGAAACACACTTTAGTTCTTTGAGCTCCCGCGCAGCATCGTTCTTCTGCTTCCTCGTGTCGTCCAGATTCCTCAGAGCATCTGCCAGATCGCTCACAGCTCTGTCCCGCTCCCGTCTCAGGTTGTCACACAGCGTTCTGAGAGGAGGAAACAATCACATAAATTATTACACGCATTTTTTTTTCTTTACCAAATCTCTGCACTGCGAGCATTTAACAGATTGTTTACCGTACGCTCTCCCTCTCTGCCACTATTTTGTCCCTCTCCTGAAAGGCCCAGTCGCGTCGACATTTGGCCACCTCCGCTTCCTGCAGAGCCTCCTTCAGCTCCTGAGAGATGGCCTCATACTGCTTCCTCAGCATCTCAATCTCCTTGGTGGCTCGCTCCATGTCCAGAGTAGTGGAGTCTTGTTTCTAAAGACACAGGCAAAAAACTCTGAATGATAAAAGACCTGATTGTAGAAATGTAGGCAGACAACGCCAAATTCATAATCTAACAAGATACTTGAAAGCACAATGTAAGCCTTTATAGCATTTTAACCTAAAATAAGTTTTCAAATCAGGCACAGTTTAGACATTGTAACTATTCACTCACCATTTAACGTTGTTTATTGCATGCTACAAGCCAGTCCTGGTCTCAGCGGCTCTTTTAAACACCAACTAGTAAAACCTTTTGTCAGGTTAATATAAAAAGCTGCACCCATGTGTTAAATATTCAAACCTACTGATGGTTTGCAAGTGCTGTTGGGAAGAATTAATAAATTATTTTATAAAGCTGTATTATTAATGCAGTTTTTATTAAACACTTTTGCAGACCTAGAAGAGAAAACCTACAACATACCAGAGATGAGCTGCAGGAAGCTACAAACTGGATATCATCCTGAATAAATTGGATTAAATAACATGATATGATCTTGGAAATGCAAAGGTCACTACAGAGTCTCCTGCAGCATGGTGAGGCCTCACTGTAAATGTATGAGGATATAAATAGGTCGACTGCTAAACTAGACTCCACCACTCCATTCGTTTCTGTTGCAGAGCAGCTTCCTTGTCACTTTAATTGGAAGCAATTTTCCTAATGCTGCATTTCTCTGACTTTCATCGTCATTTGTAAATGATGCAAAATCACTGAAAACAGACTGAAGGGCGTTGTACGCATTTTTTATAAGACTAATGTGTGGAAACTGCCCTGTGTAGGCAAAATAAAGCTATTTCCATTAGATTCATTACAACTGAAGAGATGACGACAGGATTATTGTCAGACAGGTAAATCAGTCGGACCCTTTGGACTGATAATCCAGCCTCTGTCTGGCTACCTGTCTGGCCTGGTAATACTCTCGCAGCAGCTGGTCCCTCTGGATGATGGCCTCAGTCCTCTCCTTGCGGGCAACATCCCTCTCCTCGCGCACCGTCTCGATGTCCCTGCAGGCCTGGTTCAGCTCCTTTTGGGCTTCGGTCTTGCCCTTCACCTCATGGCAGTACTTCTCCAGCAGCTCATTCTTCTCACAGATTGCTCGGTCCCTGTCAACCAGAGCCGAGGCCAGTTCCTTCAGATCACAAAAAAAAGATCATCGATCAGTTTATTTTTCTGACTAAGAAATCATTCAGTCAAGCCTTTACTTGTCGTAGTGCTTCTAGCTCCTCGGTGGCCACTCGTCTTTCTGAGGAATCGTTATGAAGCTTTGCCTCGGCCATCTCCAGGCCCGTTTGAAGCCTGTCCACCTCTTTGATCACCTGGTCCCTCTCACTCATGATCAAGCGATACTCGCTGATCACAGAGTCTCGCTCCTCCCTGTATTTTTCACAGTCCTTCACAGCTTTGAGCTGTTGGGTCTTGATCCTCGTCACCTCTGACTGCAGCCGATCCAACTCCCGCTGCAGCTCCTTATTCTGGGCTGTAGCCTTGGATAGTTCCTGCTGAGTGTTGTCAAACCTAAACCAGAGAATCATTTTAATAGCACTTAAATCACTTATTTGCAATGATGCATCCATTATGAATCCCAATCCGTAGATGTCAGTTCATGAAGGAAAACCTTTGAAGAAATTTGCACATCTGTAAAGCTTCATCTGTTGTGGATTTACACTTTACAGGGCACTCATTCAAGTACCGTACTGACCCGAATATAGGACGACCCTGATTATAAGGCGACCCCCCTTTCCAGGACTAATCTTCAGGAAAAGACAAAAAATAAATCTTTTTTTTTAACTATTTTTATTGAGAATTTGAGAACAAATACTGAGCAAAAATACTATTTTGATGCAAACTGTCAGAACTTTGCTGACATGTGAAATCAAAAGTCAAATGAGGCCTTTATTCAGAGGCCTTCTCCCTCACTGTACTCCATCGCTCTCATTCTCACTCATGCTGCTGCGGTCCCGGTGTACCATCAGATCGCCACACCTGTCGACTCCTCCCAGAACGTCATCCTCACTGCCATCCCAGGCATCCGTGAATGCAATGTTTCACACCGCTGCTGAATTGACCACAGTCATCCTAAAATTCGCATAACTGCCTTATAGCTTGTAAACTTGCCCCAGTTTGGTCCACTCTGCTCTGGACCTCTCCTCCCCATTTTTTTCTCCTGTTGAGAACATTTAGCCTGGCGCCCTCTGCTGTTACGGGCGTGTAATGACCCTGGACAAATATCAGCATGTTTAAATGCTTAGATCCCGATTAGAATCCCACATTTTCAAATTATTTTCAAAAAAAAAACTTGTCTTATATTCGGGGCAATACAGTAGTTTAAAATTTAAAATTTCACCCTCCGGGGTCTTATTATGGTATAGTAGATATTTTCATGCAGAAAATTAAGTGATCAAATATGGATGCTGGCCCTGTTCTGGTAAAAGAAATCCCAAAATAAAAACATGAACAAGTATACATTATTTTTTTTGAATAATGTGTTATAAGATACTAAGAATAATCTAGCTAATTTTACAAGATTATATCACTGTAAAATAATAAAAAATAAATCAGTTATTAAATAATATAGTATATTGGTTGATAGATTGGTGCTGCATCTGCAGTGATGCGGGTGTTGTACCCGTCTATCTTGGTGAAGAGAGAGCTGAGCCAGAAAGCGAAGCTCTCGATTTACCAGTCGATCTACGTTCCTAACCTCACCTATGGTCAAGAGCTTTGGGTAGTGACCAAAAGAACGAGATTGCGGACACAAGCGACCAAAAGGAGTTTTCTCCGCAGAGTGGCTGGGCTCTTCTTTAAAGATAGAGTGAGAAGCTCGATCATCTGGGAGGGGCTCAGAGTAGAGCCGCTGCTATTCCACATCGAGAGGAGCCAGTTGAGGTGATTCGGGCATCTAGTTAGGATGCCTCGTGGATGCTTTCCTGGTGAGGTTTTCTGGGCACGTCCAACTGGGAAAAGACCTAAAGCAGGGGTGCCCAATCCTGGTCCTGGAGGGCCGGTATCCAACAGGTTTTAGGTTTAACCCTTCTTCAACACACCTGAATTCAATCAGCAGGTGATTAACAGGCTTCTGTAGAGCCTGATGAGATGCTGCACAGGTGATTCAACCACTGAATCAAGTGTGTTGGAGCAGACAAACCACAAAACCTGCTGGATATCGGCCCTCCAGGACCAGGACTGGGCACCCCTGACCTAAAGGAAGACCCAGGACGTGTTTAAGGGACTATGGCTCTCGGCTGGCCAGGGAGCAACTTGGGATTCCCCCAGAAGAGCTGGCCCAAGTGGCTGGGGAGAGGGAAGTCTGTGCCTCCCGACTTAGGCTACTGCCCCCGCGAGCAGACTCCGGATAAACGGAAGAGGATGGATGGTATTTAATAATAAAAACAGACTGTAGAATATATTTGAAAATTATTAAACAATAAATACCATTTCTGATCAGATATAGATTATTAGAATATTATATATTTAAGGATCTGTCAGTGTCATCTTCCTCCTCATCATCATCACCACTGATGGCGAGATTGAGTGGCACAATAACTGTCCTCCATTTTTCATAGAAATCCTAGTTTAAAACTGTAAAATATACTCAGAATTGTAACTGTTATTACTGTTACCATGATTATGTCTAAAAAACAACAAATTTTACTAAAAAAATATACATGATTTCTTTTACTTGTTCAGGGCGTTATGATCAAATATGGCAGCTTTGACTTTCATGCTATGATTTCACCAACTTCATCGAGTTTAACATTTACAACACACAAATCCTTATTTGGCACAACTAGTCGACTTTGTGATGTGAGTTTCATAAACCTAGCATCGTTAGTTTTAGAGATCTGACTGTAAACATGAGAGGAGACCAAGAATGTTCTGGGTCTGCAGACCCACCAGTATTTGGTGGGTCTGCCCTCATAAACCTAACTAGTGGAATGGTGCCATGGCGTGAACTGTGACTAGCTTTATCTCCAATGATTGTTTGGGTGAAATCCCGTAATTTTAAGTCAGTGAAAAGGCACACACATAATTAATGATGCGAGTGGAAGTGTCTAAATATAGACAATGCCCCTATAAAGAATTAAGCATGTTTTCTGCAGATTTGACTTGAGTTAAACTCAAGTACTACATTTGCAGCATAACTGCTTGCATCTGCTGTTTTTAACAGCTGTTTACTTTGTTCATGCACCTCCCAGTGTCTAATTTACCCAAGCCCACCTTTGAACGGAGGAATAATGCTGCTGATAGTGGATCGCAGCATCCCTCTGTTTTGAGAGAATGTCCAGCGTCTTCTGCAGCCTGTGGTTCTCCTCCTCGACCTGGTCCAAACGAATCAAGTCTGCGTTGTGACTGGCTGTCTTCTCATTGTAGCGCTTTCTCAGAGCCTCGTAGTCACTCTTCATGACCTCCAACTTGTCTATGGTTGTTTCGTAAAGCTTGTTGAGGACATCTGGCGAGCCTTCTCTCATGACCTGTAATTATCATTCAGAGGACAGTGGAAGATATCTTTATTTGTGTGTGGTGTGTGTTTGAGAAGTAAAAAGGAATGCTGGCAAACCAAGAAATGCACCGTTTCAGTCAGCAGCTTCCACCTCAAAGGAATGTCTGATTCAATTTCATTTCAATTACATGTGCTATTCTTGTTCGTTTTAACTGTTAAAAATTAAGTTATGAAATGATGTCTTGGCACAGAGTAGAGAAACTTTTTAGGCCCTGAATTAAGCAAGAATTAATCTCAGGAAATTAACATTGAAATGTTGTTGCAAATGAATGAAATGATGTAGAAAGAATATTGGCAGATTTGTAACATATAACCATAAAAATTGGGTCTAAAATACATGGGAGTGGGTCTAAGTCTCTGGGCGACGCCATGTTTCCTTTTACGGGAGCCCGTGAGGACAAAACACATTTACTGATTTGTAACAAACGGTTACACAACTTTCACCATTGATAAACGTTGTTGTATTACACCTTTATCTCTTCACTCATTGCCAGTGATGAAAGGATGAATGGAGTCTGATGTGTTTGTCATTTTGCTGGAGGTTGCACTCCCAGGGATTTTTGACCCTAATGGCCATCCGTAGTTAAGGTCTTAAACAAAAATATCGCTTGCTTGCAATGATTTAGGCATGTGGTGCTGCCCCCATCACCAAGGAAAACACACATAGTCACTTTAAATAACTCTTTCAGTCGTACTCTAAAAGACAAATAAGCTATTTTGCTCCACTTGTTCGTGTTACCATTACAGTAACAGTATAAAGCTAATATAAAATCAAGCTTGACTTATTATTAGCGACAACGGAACACTTTTTTTATTACTGGTGAATACTAATAAAAAGTTCTCTCGCACAAATGGTGTCAAAACCTTGTTTCACTTTCACTTTGCTGTCTTGTTTCATATAAGTGTGCAAAATGTTTTCTTAGGTAAACTTTGCTGTACGTATCACAGTGACAAAAGGTTTTTACCTATTCATTCATGCTGCATTGATGAAATTAAAACATCTGACAAATTGCATGTTTTTAATTACTACTTTGTAATGAAAGATAAAAAGGTTTAAGGGTTTGCTCTATATTAAACTGTTGAATACAGAAACTGTTTAACAAATCTACTCTACGGACAAGTCACAAGAACAGCACGTCTCACATAAGAGAAGGTATGATGAGGTAAGTGAAAAGCATCCAACATCCAAACACAAAGGTCAGCTCACTTAGCTAATTTGCGTTCTCATTTGACTGAGGTCTTACAATGGCATGACCTCTGCAGACCAGGAATATTTATAGAATCAAACAGCCCTCAAAAGCAGGCCCCATGCTTTTGTAAAACAACTAAACATTTAATGACAGTAAAACTATTTGACTGCAGTGAGGTTTACTATGTCAGGCAAAGAAAAAGGTTAAGCCATTTTTCTCATTTCCAAACAATCTGATTGATGGAGATTTGGGAAAATCAGACATGTCTACCCTATTTGTCTAAACAACGCTGTCCTCTCCAAGGTAATGGTCACAAAAATAGGAACTAAATTTAATTCCATTTCAAATGTCAAGATCAAACCAATAACACGCTAAGGGCACCCAGAGATATACATGAGTGTGAGTGAAACGGTGTGTTTTTCTACTCCACATTTGCGTGAATGTGTAACCACTTAAACTGATGGGTTTTGCATGGATACCTGCTGGTGCAGCATTCTCATTTCAGCCACTTCCCTCTGGTCATCCTCATGTAGCCTCCTCAGCTCCTCACACGTCTGTTTCATGTGGTTGTGCTCCCTGAGCAGCTGGATGTTGTGTTGTCTCACCGCATCCAGCTCCTCCTTCAGTTGGTTATGCTCACTCGCAACACGTCTACATAAAACAATAAGTTGTTATTAAAAAAAAACGTGATCAGGGTTATTGAAAGAAAAAGAAATGAATGATACAACCCTTTTGTGCCGTGTTATGTTCCATTACAGTTTTCTTGTCCTGGGAATATCGCTTAAAACAACACCAACACCTTGGCTACTACTTTCGAACTGGTTTCAGTGATTCTAGAGCCAGAAACTTAAGCAACTTCACATTGGACAGCTCTCTGCAGCCCTCTGTTGACCAGAATCTACTCTTAACAATTTAGTGGTTTGGGTAGGTACCATGGTGGGAGCCCTCTACCTGCTTTACGGTGGTTTACATTGCGAGTAGCTCATATAAAGGCTAGCTGTTAGCTTTTTTAGTTTGCAGGGGTCTCATTTATCAAACATTGCGTAGAATCCTTACTAAAACCGTAATCAAGCTCAGCAAAAAAAATGTACTTACGCCAAGTAGGTTTGTGATCTAGCAAACATGGAGTACGCACAGCTGCACGCAATCTCCGCTTCATAAATCGGAGACTAACGAGAATGTTTCTCAGCTGCATTTTAGTCACATCCCGCCCTCACCACGCCCACTTACTGCAATAAATAGCCAATGCAAAGTGCCTTGTGGATCTCATGCATATATATAAGCCGGCTGTTGCAGCGCTCCGCCAATGACAATGGCGACCGTAGACCAAGGCAGATCAAGGAAGCGTAATTTCACAGAAGCAGAAATTGAGGTACTTGTGGGTGAGGTGGAGAAATGAAAGGAAGTGCTTTTGCAAAACAAATAAGAAAAAATCCATGGAGTGGCACAGCGTTGCTGAAGCCGTCAATGTTGTGAATTCTTCAGAGAGATCTGTGGCGGATATAAAAAGAATGGTCCAATCGGTGTGTGTGTGTGTGTGTGTGTGTGTGTGTGTGTGTGTGTGTGTGTGTGTGTGTGTGTGTGTGTGTGTGTGTGTGTGTGTGTGTGTGTGTGTGTGTGTGTGTGTGTGTGTGTGTGTGTGTGTGTGTGTGTGTGTGTGCGCGTGTGTGCGCGTGCGTGCGTGCGTGTGCGTGTGGGGGTCTTGTATGTGAAAACGAAGCAGTACAAGTGATAATGCTGCAGAATTTCATAATTTTATCTTCTCAGCAGCTGCACTGCAGGTGCTCTCCATGTCCAAAATGTGCGTAAGCCAGGTTCTTAGTCAACTTAAAGTTGTGCACATTTTTCCACTAAGTTTTCTTTCATAAATCCCAAAGTTTGCGTGGAAAGTTGCTTACGCAGTTTTCCGACCCTGTTTTGTGCAAGCTTGATAAATGAGGCCCCTGGTCATAAATCAAAAGAACAAAAAGAAGAATTTTAGTATTTTTGTTGCATCGTGGTAGAGCCTGGATGTAAAATCAAGAGTAATGTCTTTGGAAGCGAAGCAAAGGGCTAAAAGCAGAGTTAACATCAGCACAGCCTACACTTGTTTGAGGGAGCTGAATGACTGACGATGACCTGGCTTTGTTTCTAATGGACTTGTGTGTAATAGTGTTTGTCTAACAGTGTGGATCTTTCTACTTCGTGGCTTATTTAGTATCAGCTGGCTCATGTTAGTGTTAGTTCATTGTTGGCACTGCAGCAGGGTTGTTTACAACAGTTGTTACAATGTTTATAAAAGTTTAGGGCTGCAGCTATCGAATATTTTTGTAATCGAGTACTCTATCGAATCTTTTTTTCGATTAATCGAGTACTCTAATAAATTACCCTTTTGTGTTTGTAAACCTTTATATCATATATTGATGAGCCAAGATGGCGCCGAGTATGGCTGCCTCGTCGCGAGCTCCACCAAGTTCCAACATTACACGCTCCACACTGTACATTAATGCCACTGTTTTGCACATACCAACCTCTGTACATTTTACATCTCTTATCTTATTGTTTACTTTATTCATTTGTATACTTAGATTAGCCATTTTTATATTTTACTTGTTTTTACATTACTGTATTTTTGCACAACTGTTGCTGTGAAGCTCGCACACAAGAATTTCACTCGCATGTACTGTACCAGTGTACCTGCACATGTGACGTGACAATAAAAGTGATTTGATTTTATATCAAATAGCATGTTATAATTATGAAAGACCTCTTGAAATGAGAAAGTAATTGCCAGTTATTCTTCAAGTTTTATTCAAAATTAGTTTTCAAAACTTCGGCACTTCAACTTTACTTCACAGTAAACAAATGCCTGTTCAAAAAATAAGTAAACAACCTGAGCCGATTTTCCCCTCGAGCGAGAATCTGCTAGCCTGCAAGCCAGACAAAAACTAGGAGGATAACGCTGCGAGCGGCTGCGGCCCAAACAGAACCAGAACCGCTCACGGCGCAAACAGCTCGCCGGCTGTTTCCCTATTAACACACGTCCGTTTTAATTTCTACACTTTTTTTCTCACACTAACAAGGATTGCCAAAAGCATGTTTGCTGTGGTTTTGTCAAATTATACTGATCACAAAACATTTATTTACTTTCTTTCGTTTTCCTCCACCACTCATAAATACCGGTGTCCTCCTGCAGCAATCCAGAGGGACAACAGACGTCAATAACAACACAATAAAAAGTCCGACGTGTTGTGTAAAAACTGCTATTTTTTTTGGCACATTTTAAGTCCGACGTGTTGCTACCAGACGTACGGTGTGAGCTGAAACTGAGTGCTACAAACGAAAAAGTTGCAGAGTCCGCAGAATATACAGAAATACAGGCTAAAATGCATTATCTTGTAGAGGCTCCGAGTCCGCTTGCAGAAGTGACATTTACAGGTGCTGCAGCACGGAGGTGGTGTTGTGGTAGGCTAAATCCATTTTACAGTTTTTATACTGGACTACGTTTTACGCCTTGGTCCCACACCTTTGACATTTTCTGTCTTTTTCGCACTCCACCGGGGTCCACGTTGTCCGCCATGGCTTAAGAGAAAGTAAAGTTTTATTCGCTACTCGCGTGTGCAGTCCAGTGGGCATGTGCGTCACTTATTTCGGTCCGGGTGAAACATGACCCCGGGCGATTGCAAAGCCATGAATTAATTAAATATGAATTAAACGAAGCCTCGAGGCAGAGAATTTGACTCGAGGATTTTTTGTACTCGAATTATTCGAGGTACTCGAGGAATCGTTTCAGCTCTATAAAAGTTTAATTCCCCTTTCAACTAGTAGGAGGGAGAAACAGGAAACTTGCATGTCTATGGGACTAGGATTCTAAACTAGCTTCCTGCTAACTTTGGCTTATTTACAGTGGGTACAGAAAGTATTCAGACCCCCATCAATTTCTCACTCTGTTTATTGCACCAATTTGCTAAATTCAATTAAATTCATTTTTTGATCATTAATGTACACAGCCCCCCATGTTGACAGAAACACAGAATGAAAAACACTCCCACAGCATGATGCTGCCACCGCCATGCTTCACTGTGGAGACTGTAATGGACAATGTCTCGTTTTCTCCACACATGCCACTTAGAATTAAGGCCATAAAGTTCCATCTTGGTCTCATCAGACCAGATAATCTTACATATCACCATCATGGAGTCCTTTCATGTATCTTGCACTGAGGAGATGCTTCCGACCGGTCACTCTGTCATAAAGCCCTGACTGGTGGAGGGCTGCAGTGATGGTTGACTTTCTACAACTTTCTCCCATCTCCTGACTGCATCTCTGGAGCTCAGTCACATTGATCTTTGTGTTCTTTACCTCTCTCACCAAGGCTCTTCTACCCTAGTAGCTCAGTTTGGCCGGACGGCCTGCTCTAGGAAGGGCTCTGGTCATTCCAAACGTCTTCCATTTAAGGATTACGGAGGGCACTGGGCTTTCAGGAACCTCAAGTGCAGCAGAGATATTTTTCTAACTTTGGCCAGATCTGTACCTTCCCACAACTCTGCCTCTGAGCTCTTCAGGCAGTTCCTTTGACCTCATGGTTATCATTTGCTCTGACATGCATTGTGAGCTGTAAGGTCTTACATAGACAGGTGTGGCTTTGCTAATCAAGTCCAGTCAGTATAATCAACCACAGCTGGACTCCAATGAAGGTGTAGGACCATCTCAAGGATAATTAGCAGAAATGGAAAGCACTCGAGTTAAATGTACGAGAGTCACAGCAAAGGGTCTGAATACTTAGAACAATGTGATATTTCAGTTAGTCTTTTTTAATAAATCTGCAGAAATTTCAATATGGGGTGCTGTGCGTACATTAATGAGGAAAAAAATAAGTTCACAGATTTTAGCAAATGTATGCAAAATAACAAATAGTGAAAAATTGATGGGGGTCTGAATACATTTTGTACCCACTGTGCGTTTCAATTTTGTTCACCAATATTCTTTGTCCATTTCAAATGAATAAGTCAAATCAGCGTATTTAGTGTTACTTTAAATCAGTGGTATCTACAACTTTTCAAAACATCATAATCACCTATTTGAACTTACACGGGGGCCACACAGTGTTGAATTTTTTTTGTTATTTAAAAAATTAAAAACATTTTGTTTGTCATTTTCTCTCCACTAAATAAAGCATAAAATATGCAACACTTTAACAAAGAAAAAAGTATTTGGGTTTATTTTTAGAAATCCGTTTATTTTTTGCAGATTTGGGACATAAAAAGGGTGTATTGGTCTTGAAAACCAATGATAAAATGTCCAAGAAAAGGTGTGGGTCAGTCTCTCTTTGGTATATTGCTGTATTCAGTCAGGTTTTATGAACTGTGCTTTTTTTGTAAAAGTGAGTGAAGGATCGTAGTATCAAGTTACCATGAAAATTAAGCTAGAATCCATGGTGAATTAAAACAAAATACTTTGACTTAATAAAAATTTGATCAATTCAAATATTTTTATGGCAATTTTTAAGCACAATACAAAGGTTATTTTTTCCTTTTACATGTCCAATTTCGTTAATCAAACTAAATATCGTAAATAGTAAAGGTTCTTGTTTTCATGTCCACACCCTCTGATGTAGCTATGCTTCAAATACCGAAACATAAACCAATATGATTCTCAGTGATTACCGAGTGCTAATGCTTGCACATTCATTTAGTACATGTGTGATGCTTGCTGGATAAATGCAGGAGCAGACAGGATAGTAATCAGTAAATACTTTCTCTGGTCTGCAAACAGAGGCCAGAAGGAGAGGCTTAAACATGGGAATAATCCTTCATCTGTCTGCTTGCATTGGGGGGCCAGATGTTGGTTGCATACACTTTTGGGAGAGTATGGCACAATCAAATCTCACAAATGGACCAGCCTCCTCACCATGTCAATAGCGCACAGCTTATTTCGCAAAAGCACAAATGCTCGTTTGTGGCTTTATCCGGATGGCACAAATGCACTGCCATGCAACCACTGTTCTCGTACAGAATACAGAGCATGTTCTGGCATAAAGAAGACAGCATGGGTTTTAAAAAAAACAGCTACGCATTTGTTTTCATTTTTTTAGCTTAAACAATAGCAGCATTCTAATTAAATTGAAGGATAACTGCAATGATTTTTCCCAGCTTAACCCAGCAGCTTTTGGACTGGTATAAAAGCTTCATCTCCTATTACTGTTGCAAAAATAAAATCCGTTTATGCAATCTGCTGTGAACCTCAGATAAAGCCATGTAGACAAAGGATGAATAAACACAGCTCAAGTGCAATGGCTGTTAAAAATTTGACCAAAGCCTACATTTAGTGGAATTTCCACTCACCGATAAAAGTCTGCTTTCTTCACAGCCTCCTCGCACCTCTTCAGGGTGGTGCTATGCTGGTTCTGCAGGGACTGCAGGTCTGCCATTGCCTTCATGCACTGCAGCTTCAGATGCTCATAATCATGACCCGTTTTTGAGTTTAATCTGTTTCAGAAAGGAAAAGGGCAAAAAAACGAATAGAAATTTGTGTTATGCGAAAGCACTAAGGAGACTGACATCAGGACAAAAGCACACAAAAACTTTTGCAAAAAAAGTTATGTTCTTGACATTTAAAAGGATTTTTATGGCCACTCTGAAGTGCGTTTCTGTCTGAAATGTCTCACCAGTTGAAAATAGAGTGCTGAACAGCCTTGGTTTGAAAAACAGATAAGCTCAGCCAAAACAAGGTGGACTACAGTCATCTTTTAGACAGCTCAAGTATCCATTACATCAGTGTTTTAGTAGAAATATTTAAACTTTCTTTTTGAACTCGACAACTTGATGCAACAGAGGTGCTGCTGGTGGAATCTATGCCTGTAAATCACTACTGAATTCAAAGTAAACAATGACAATGCAAATGTAACTGTAGTGAAACGTTTTGTTAAACAGTATAGCATCTGGCTGCACTCCAACAGCCAGTCAAGCCATCCTATACGCTCACTGCCGCTTGAGGAAGTAAATGACTAGAACTACGAGCAACGAGGCTGCTTTTAAACACAATGGTAACATTAACACGTTTCTTATTCGTGTGTCCTGAAAAGGTCATGGTTTTTTAGCAGACAAATGAGTGAAATTATTGTTTATAACAGGTTTTATTTGAACAAGTTTAAGACAATTTTTTTAAAGACAGTGTCAGGATTATGTTCTCTGCTCCCTGGTTCCTAATAAGTCATATTCCTGCTTTTTAATCCAACAGTATAACAGTTTAAGCCTATCTAAATGTTTATGAGCATCTCTGTTTATTCTCAAGAGCAGAACTGGGTTATTTATATTAGGTCTGTAGGCCCGTGAAAACTCACAATACTGCAGGTTAATGCAAAAACATTACTTCAATTAAGTAGGTGGACTTCGCCAAAATATGCATTTAAAGACACTAAGTTGAATGTCTGATAACTCACATAATAAATAAATTAAACAAACCATTGTTTTTGATTTAAGCAGTGTAGAATAGACTTTGTGCTCCCCAAGAGAAAATCTAAAAGTTCTTATGTGAAAATCTACTGACTAATCTGCATCAATAAATTATATACAGTTTAATATGGCCATCCCCATCTTCGTTTCGCTCTGTCACAGTAACTTCCTGCCCACCAAATCGATGGAGCTCTATGAATGGCCCACCAAAATGATAGTACTGTGATTGGCAAGCCACCAGACTGGCCGGAGCTGCGGCGGTTCCAATGAAGCGTGGCTAGACCAACATGCAAAGTTCTTTTGCTTCTGCTACTTTAACCCTGGATTCTCATGTCAGTTCTCTTGTTTGCTCTTCCTTCTTCAATCTCAGGAACATTGCTAAGCTGAGTTCCATTCTGTCCCACTCTGAACTTGTTATCCACACCTTCATCTCCTCACGCTTAGACTACTGTAACGCTCTTTTCACGTGTCTGAGCAAAACCTCCCTGAACCATCTACAGGTGGTTCAGAATGCCTGCGCTTGACTTCAGACCAAGTCCTCCAAACACACCCACATCACCCCGCTTCTCCTCCAGCTTCATTGGCTGCCAGTCAACTTCAGAGTTCATTTCTAGATCCTGGTTCTGGTCTATAGGGCCTTACATGGACAAGCACCATCATACATTGGTGATCTTCTTAGTCCCTACACCCCCAGCAGGTCCCTGAGGTTCAGTGACCAAAGCCTACTGGTTGTGCAGCACACCAGGCTAAAGACCAAAGGTGACAGATCATTTGCTGCTGTGGCCTCCAGACTCTGGACCTCTCCCCCGAGATCAGTGGACTCCTTTAAAAAGCAGCTGAAAACTCATCTGTTCAAGCTGGCTTTTGCGTTACCTTCATCACCACCCTCTCATTATTCTGCTCTGTCTACCTATTCTGCCTTTCCCGGGATCCACCAATTTCCCTCTTTCATTTTCTCTCTCCCTTTCCTTACATTTTAATCACAATTTATTTTTCTCATAGTAAAAATATTTTCAATCATTTTTAGAAATCTTTTATATATTTAAATAAAAAAAATTTGTGAAGATTTTTATCTTGAGAGGCACTTTACAAAAGTTTTTTTTTCTTTCTTTCTTTTAAGTGTAAATGTCTAGGCTACTCTGACTAGCTATGATCTTAGCAGTCCAGTAGGATGCAACCACGTTTCACCAAACTGTGGCTATTCAGAAAGTTAGCTATGAGTAAAGTAATGTTTAATTATACGTTTTTGGCATAAACACACTTCTAATTGACTGGATTGTTCCTTTGGTAAAGACCTGCATTCATCAAAAGAGGTTCCAGGAGAAGAGAGTGGTAAACGTTTGAGCAGTTCATCTCTTTCACGAGTCACTTGTCTCAGCTGGAACAGCACAGTCTCCATCTTCTCGTTTACCCGGTGGCTGTCCACATTTGCAGGGAGGGGTGAAGAGGCTTGACCAGACGTACCTGAGAAATTCTACATGTTATTGAAGGAAAGGTACAGATGACGGGGCTAATGAGGCTCAGTTTCTTTAAAATAATCATCAAAATGAACTTTTAGGAAATACTTTACACAGAGTTAATATAGCACATACACACAATGGATTTTAAAAACAGCTAAAACATTGAAACGTATAATGCTATAAAAGTAGTTGTTTATATATGTTTTATGGAAGGGGGAAATTCCCTGTTGAATGGATCTTCCTTTGAGCAGAAATTCTCACAAATTCTCCAAACTTAGATGAACTGAAACAAATAAATCCTTTTTAATTTCAAAGCAATAACTTCAATTTCAACTATTCCAATTTATGGTTCATGTATACGTCATTGTTGATTGAAATAATCTCAGCAGGAATGCAAATGTGAGAAAAATAATCCTGCTAATTAAGATTCTGTTAGATTTTTATAATATTATGTGTCAGTTCATTGTTCCTTAGCCTAAATGATTCACGCCTGTGTGTGTGCATGCAACTGAGTGTGTGTTGTTTTCTTCCTAATCACTTGCATGTGGTCAGAATCTGCCACTGGGTGCTTTTTCTTCTGAAACTACAGCACCCTCCTCTCAACATGTGGTGATTTATCATTTTTTGGACTTTCCTTCCTTCAACTTTGAGCCTTGTCCCTCATCACGAGTGCCACACTCACCTAAGCTGCTGAGCGAGCTGCTACTTTCTGAGTCTGATGGCATGGTGGACAAGACGCTGTAAGTGGACCCTGTGAGGGGAACAAAAACATTAAAGTCAGCTCAGAGTATTTGATCGTTTCTGCATTGTATTCGGATCATTATCTCCTGCATTGTGTGGCACATCAAGGTTCTGCAGGTTAGGTTACGTTTGGGATCTTTTAGTTAAAAAAAACAGCTGGGGAAATAAAAGCTGGGACTTTCCCCAACTCTGATGACGAGCCTGTGGGCTGACAGCAGGGTGTAGCTAATTATCAGTTGGGCAGGGAGCTTGAATACTTACTAACCAGGGCCCCAAAGAGACTGCAGTCTTAGAGCTTCTCCTTTCATCTCCTCTGACAACAACACACAGTCCCCCCAGAGAAAGCCCAGTCTTTTATTTCCTACTGGCTTATAATTAACCTTATAGAGAACACCAAACACTGAAGAAGCGTTCATCATCACATCAAAACCACCAATTCGGATTTTGAATGTGTGATAGGCAGCTCTGGTTAAAGCTGCAATGATAAATTTAGAAAACAAATTAGCTTAAAATATTTTTCATGCCTCTTAACATAGTAACATAGCAATAATTATATTATAGTGGAGTTTAAAAAAAGAAAAAAAGATAAAGTGTTCTCTCACATTTGTCTAAAAACCACCATTGACACTTTGCAAACTGAAAGAAACTATTGGGGGAGGGGGGGGGGGTCAACAAAAATAAACAATGATGAACAAGAGACTGCTTCTAGATCTTCAGAAAGAGAAGAAAAAAAAGACAGAAAGGGACACACAACAATACAACTAGAGCAAGCCATCACTGCATCAACCTGATGCGGACATTTAAAAAAATCAATATCGTTTTGCTGAGCAAACACACGATAACTCACAGTGCATTTAGTGCCAACCACAGCCTTAAGACATCTGTTGAAAATGGATACTTATGAGAGCACCATGTGAGCACCTCTGTGCGTTCACACGCTTGTATATGTAAGGTTTCCCTATAAGAGCGTCCAATAGAGTGGCCACAAATCTGCCCCCAAAAGATGTGTAGGACACATGTGTCAGGCACAAGACCGCCCGCGAAGCATTTTTATGTGGCCCGCGAGATAAATATCAAAAATATATTACAACTGACCCGCTGGCCGAATTTACCGCAAAGACTACATTTCCCATGATGCTTTGCGGCGTTAGCGCAGAGCCAAAGCGCCTCCTCCTTTGAGTTTTTTCCAGCGTCTGCAGCCAGCGTCTGCAGCCAGTGTTTGCAGCTCCGCTGTCTCAAACAAACTAAACACTCCTCTCACTCAGCGCCGAGTTTACGCAGCTATTTGTTGACGTTTAAGCCCAGAAACTGAGATTTTAACCGCTCAGGTATGTGTTCACGACTGAAAGAGAAAGTTTTATCCTGCCAAAGGAATTTGGTAATTGAGGAGTCCAGACATCTAAACAGTCAGCTGGTGGTTTGTTTGGGATCATTGAAAATAAGTAATTTATTCTGGGTAAGTCCATCATTTTAATTGCAGCAACTCTCCCCATGAGTGATATCGGTAAGGATTTCCATCTTGCAAGATCATCTTCCACTTTCTTTAAAAGTGAGATGTTGTTTAGTTTGGTTAGATCTGCTAGCTTGGGAGAGACATTAATTCCCAGGTATGTGATATTCCCTGACTCTAATTGTGTATTAAGTAAATTGACAAAAGAGACATTAATTGGTAGAACTGTGGATTTTAACCAGTTTATAGTGTAACCTGAAACTTTTGAAAAAGAGTTTATCAGTTCTATTGAATGAGAGAGAGAGGATTGAGAATTCCGGAGAAAGAGTAAAACATCATCTGCATAAAGACTGATCTTGCGTTCTATTTTCTTACACTTTATCCCTTTAATACCTATTGTTTGCCTAATTGCTGCTGCTAGTGGTTCAATAAAGATAGCAAACAGTGAGGGGGAGAGTGGGCATCCCTGCCTGGTCCCCCTCTGAAGACAGAAGTGTCTGTCTTCAGAGGGGGACTCCACGAATTAGCTTAAAAATGCTTCAGAAGACCAAAGACAGAGGAGGACTGGATCTACCCAAACTTTTATTATTATTTCTTAGCCAATAGGCTGCAATATATACTAAGATGGTTGCAAGATAACCCAATAGATGAGTCTCGGTTAGACATAAAACAGACACTTTGCAATACGATAGAGCTTTCAGACTTACCATTTATTAGCTCAAGCATGAGAAAACATGAAGGCTTCAAAAGTATTACCCATTTTTTCCACCGGATCCGTCAGCAGCACGTTACTGCAGCAGCACATCTTACTCGCATGAAGCTGCTGCTTGGCCCTTCCCACGAGATGCGAAGCAGAAGGGGAGCAGCTGTCACCGACAGAGCACGAAGTCACACGAGTGACTTTGTCAGTAAACACAACAACAAGCAGGAGAAAACTACAACATGGCTCCAAAAAGTTTGTGTTATATGGTCTGTCCATTTTATAATCGCCAATACGGACCTGAAAAACAAAGGAGACCGCTAGCTAGGTGATAACTTCTCACGAGGCCGCACAGTTAGTTACTTTTTTAAAGTAAAGCAACCGGAAGGCAGTACGTTTCTTTATTCTGAAAATCTCGGGAAGCTTCGCTCCATTTCCCCATCCGATTTCCTGTCTTTCCTTCCCCAAAAATGTCGAACTTGGCCCGTTTCAGAGGCGTAGCGCGTAGAAAATAGAACCGGCGGGTAAGGGCCGTGACACGCTGCTCCTGAGATGCGGCCGACTCGCACTGCTGACGGCTCTGGTGGAAAAGGTTCTGTTGACCACAGCGGTTCCTATCAGCAGCTATGACGTGCTGCTGCAGTAACGTGCTGCTGACGGCTCCGGTGGAAAGAAGGGGTTAGTATCAGCACCTCTCTGACAGCAAGGTGGGAGTATTTAAAAATGACAGAGTCTTCATTAATACCATGCAGACGCACACCTATCTGGAATAATCCTGATATTTTGCAGAATAGTAAAATGATGAACCTTCCGGACTGGAAAAAGAAAGGAATCCTATACCTGGAACACATATATGAAGGATTGGACTTCATCCCATTTAATAGAATAGTCTCCCAATTTGGAATAGATAAGAATAGCTTTTTAAATACCACCAAATTAAATCTGTATTCAAACAAAAATTTAAGCTCAATAAAATAGAATTACAAACACCACCAAGGGTATTAGACTTCTATAATCTCAAACCCCCCAAACTACTGTCTAAAGTATATAAGACACTGTCCAAAATAGACAATAGAATAGCAATCCCTATTGAAAAATGGGAGGTGGATCTATCAGTCAGCTTCGACCAGAACTTCTGGTCCCAAACTTGTTTAAAAACTTTTAAAATGATCAGACACTCCAATTTACAATTAATTCAGTACAAAATTCTACACAGAGTACACTATACAGGTCATTGGATGTTCAAGATGGGGTTTGTGTCATCTGACACCTGTACACACTGCAAAAACAACATTCCTGACAATTACGTTCATGCACTGTGGTCCTGTCCACCTGTCCAGGAATTTTGGGGTAGAGTGTGTGAAGACCTGTCAAAGTGTCTGAAATGTCATATTCCAACTGCCTCCTCTCTTTGTTTACTGGGAAACCTGGACGATGTCCTGATTGAAACATCTTTGGCTCACGTGGTTCTGACTGCCATATGCATCGCTAAGAAAACTATCCTCTTGAATTGGAAAAATAGAGATACTCTTTGCATCAAACATAATAGAAATCTTTTGTTAGATCCTATTACACTTGATATAGCCTCTGCTTCCACTTCAAATCAATCTCTCTGGGCTCCTTTGATCGGTTCCATCACATAGCGATGACGGGGGACCATTGATATTGTCCTGTGGGATGATGTGGGTGAGGGGTGGAGGGTCTGAGTTTGGAGTATCTGGACGTTCCTTGGAGGTGGGTTCACTGGGGGTGTCTGGAACTGGACGGCCGTTGCCCCCCTCTGGAGGTGCTAGGGTTGCCTCGGGGGGTGGACTACTGGCGGTTGTGAGTGGGGCCCCTTGGAGGTCTTGGCGGTGGCCATGGGTTACTGCCCAGTGGCTGCATTGCCCCTGGGTGGGTCTGGGTGGGGGCCTGGGGGCTCGGGGTGTGGGGGTGGCCGGCCCCGTGGGGGGATCTGGGCACGTCCTGGAGGTCGGGTCCTGACCTGTAAGCTGCCAGGGAGAAGGCAGGAACATGCAGCAGTGCCTGACTCGGGTTCAGGGGCCTCAGGTAGACCTTGGCTCCTCTGCTGTCCCATCACAGGGGAGGGGGAAGTCCAGGAGGGAGAGGTCCCAACCTTACCTGGATGTCCTACATCTTTTATAGTCCGGAAGTTGTGCAAATGCAGGGATGGGCGTAGATATTCTGCTGGGGTGGGGCTGGGTCGGTGCCCTCGGACTCCGTGAGGCTCTGTGATGCTGCTGCTTTGGGCCCTGACAGGATGGGCTTGGGTCTCCATGCTGTTTTGACAACAGAGGTGCCTATTGGGGCCAGTGGGGGAGCTGGCTCCCTGGAGGGCTAACCGCCAGTAGTCCACCCCCCCGAGCTAAGCCCAACCAGCCATTCCTCCCCATCCCCACACATTTCTCTCCTCCTGCTCCCTCACATCATCACACAAACATGCACATAGGACCTTGGGGGGTGGACAAGTCAGGGAGTGCAGGTATGGACCCCATTTCCGCATTCCTGTGGCAACCTGCCCCCCAATTTTATCTGCACCTTTAACACTTCCACCAACGACATTCCACGCAAATACACACTTTGGGCCTTGGGAGTGAGCACATCCAACGGCATTTGGCAGGGGGATTTCTCAGCCTCACCCCAAGTGCCAGTGCCCACTTCCAATTTTAAACTGCACTTAGACACTGAGGGCTGTGGGTGCAAGTGGGGTGGTGTGGTGGCATCAGCTGGCATAGGCCAGACGATGCCCACACTGCCCGCTCGCCACAGCCATGGAATACACCTCATCAACACTCACTAACTCCAGATTGGAGCAAGCGGAGGGAGACCAGGGGTCTTGGCACACCTGTTGTCGCTTGGC